TACATTTGTGAAAAGTGGGGACATCCCATAGGCGTAATGGTTATTATACTGTACAGACCGTATATTCTATTGCCCTTTACCAACCCTACCCCTAAACCTACCTCTTACAGGAGACTTTGTGCTATTTCAGATTTTCAATACACTCCATTCTGTGTGAATTATAAGCGTTTTGAAAAGTGGGGACATGGGGTAATGTCCTGAAAAGTCACCTTCTCCTTGTAATACCTATGTCATACCTTTGTCATTATACAAATTTATGTCCTCATTTGTCACAAAAACGCGTACACACACACACACACACACACACACAAATCATGTTAAAAAGATTGCATACCCTTGACAATATACAATATTAAGAACAAAAGTGTGGAAACTTTTAAACAGGATTATTCATGTAATTTGAGTTATTAGTCTTGTTGAATATATGTACATATCTTTTGTTAAATAGTTTAATAAGGACAGTATTTAATGAAAGAAGCAATTTTTATGTTCGCTTCGTTTTTCCACAAGCACAATGTAAACTTGTGAGCAGGACTGTAATCTAAAAACATGTGAACCTCAATCAGTTTCTTTTTCCTACAGAGTTTTCACAGTGAAGCAATAAAATAATCTCAAGTTGCATTAAAGAAACTGTCTTATCAAATCATGAAGTCTATTTCAAGTCAGTATCATAAATAAGTCAAAAATGAGAGGCCCATGAGATGACAGATCTGTACTGTTCTCTGTTTTTTTTTAACAATATGAAGAGGGTGGAAAAAATGGCTGAAAGACAAAAATAATTTAGGAGCTTGAGCAGATTTGAGCATCACACAATCCTTTAAAAATGTCTTTAAGTTAATGTCACTAGCAAATGCTAATTATCTCGGGGGGGGGGTATAGTATAGTGGGGATATAGTGAGACAGGCTAGTTATTAAACTTTTTATACAGTCAGAAATTATCAATGTACATTTACTTTCTATAAAGACACAACACATTTGCTAACTAAATGTTTGAAGCCAACATACACAATTACTTCTAGAGAAAACACACATGAACATGCAAATTTGTGTTATTGGACTTCTGACTCAAAACCCTATAGTTACTGAAAGTCAGCCGTGTAACAACTACCTCCAGTCTACCCCTACTGTTGTTGTTCTTCTTGTAATATTCCTGTCCATTCCATTGCTATTCTGTTGTCTCTCACTGCTTCTCTCTCTCTCTCTCAAACCCAAAACAATCTTTCTCTGTCTCTACATTCCTTCGATGGCACTATCTTCACTGTTTTTCCCCAGCATGCTGAGGGTGCTGGCTTGTTTGGGTTAAGCACTCGGAGGACGACTGGCCCTGGGGACGTCATTTTCCATTACAGAGACAAGAAACCTTTTCTCTCAGATGAAGAAAAAGGGAAAAAGTCAGAGCCCTGAATTGGTTATGCTCCTTGTCGTGTTCTCTTACTTCCCCGACTCGCGATTCGTTTAGTCAATATTTAATGCCGGTGTTGTGCAGTACAGTTGTCTGTTGGCCCGATCCATGGGTTTGATCTCCATGTCTCGCCTGATCTTTCTCCAGGCTTATGGGCTTGCGCAGAGATGTGACACAGTCTAAAAATGTGGCACAAGCTTGTTAACGGTTACACACTTTGCTCTGATGCTGTGCAAAGAAAGAGAAGGACATCAGACAGAAATCCATTACATGCATTTAGCACAACTGCTCACTTTATCTGCACACAGTCATGCACATCTCACCCTGCCTGCAGCAACTAACGCCCTCTATGCCCCACCTGTGTGTAGATGTCAAGCAGCGTGAAGTGTAAAGGTGGTATTTTTCTTCTTTAAACAGGGCAGATGGGCAAGGTTTGGTCTGAGCCGGTGGCCAAGCCAGACTGTCTTAATTAGGAGCTGGCTGCTGCCAACGGCAGGTGAACACATCTGGGACGCCATATTGGCCGCAAGCGCAGCAGGTCTTGGAAATAGTGCAAGCCTTGGAATATTCGACGGGAGCAGAAACGAGTGATTCCCCTTTTTTAACCCCCATACTACAACCCAAAAGTGAGCAGCAATACATCTACATGCCACAAAGTGTCAAGCTTCCATGCTGCGCGTGCCTGCCAGATATTAAAAGTCTTTCTTTGGAGGTTTGCATTCGTTTTGCGTGCTGCCAAGGCCCAAGCAGCCTCAGAGTGCTATCAATTACACACATTCTGCTGAAAAGCTGAAATTCAGCTCTGAGCGCAGTCTGACAGGATTCAGCAGTATGTGCACGTCTGTGCGATGGCTATTGGACGTTCGCGTTTCCTTTGTCCCCTGTACCTGCCCTCCGCTGCCTTTGTTTGAAAAGAAGACGACACAATCACAGCGTGTCGCACTTAAAGCACATTATAATGAAGTTGAGTCCTCCCTTCTTTGCAGACACACACACACACACACACACACACTATCAGGCATGTTCGCCCCACTGAGCTATACCTTCCTCATCAGTGCTTTCTTCAACGTCATCATTTCTGTCTCTATAAACTCAATGGAGCTGCATGCCCCTCTCCTCCTCTCTCAAAGCACTCCCTTCCAATTACCGTGCCAGTTCATTTATTCATTAACCCTGCAAGGAAAATCGAGGGAGACCTAATTCAAAAACAACCGCCCTCCATTTCTCTCCATCTGGTGGGGAGGCTCGATTCTCCAAACACGTTCAAGAGACTTAATCTGGTTAAGGTGTAGTTTAGCATCTGCAGCGGAGTTTGCTGGGGGGATTGAGGAACGGATTGCCATGCCAGTCCATTTTCATTAAAAGCACATTCCAATGACCAAACCGGTACAGGAAGTGACATGCATGGACTAATAAAAAAAACAAGCGGATAAAAGGCAAGGCGCTGTTGTGCTTGATTACAGAGGCATTGACTAATTTACTTAATTTGTCAAAAAGGAATGTGGTTTGAAACTGAGGTAGAACTCATTTATAGTGATTTGAGTGGTAGCATGCTGGTGCACTTAAATGCTAAACGTGCTTTAGCTATTTGAAGCGTTGTATTTCCAAATGCCATTAGCAGAATTTCTTATCTCCAAAAATGGAGAGTAAAATTAAAGTTTGGGAAAAGTAAAAGTTGGGAAACGTAATTGCTTTGAGCCTTCCAGCTACAGCAACCAACATTCAATCTAAATTAAGTAAATATTGTAAAGCCAAATTAGGAATTGGACTATGAATGATTTACTACTTAAAATACATTAAACAAAAAAGGAATATTTTCTACTTGTGCTGCAAAAAGTAAGTAGAATTTAGAATGTTTTTCTGTCAGGAATGTCACTCATGGAGTTCTAATATAGTCTTATTCACAAGCATAACAGACAAATGGGTCAAAAATATTTTTAAGGTCCAATTCTCGCTATTAACAAACCCTTAACTACGACTTTTGCTTCAATAAACTCCTAATTTGCTGCTTATTAATAGTTAGTAAGGTAGTTGTTAAGTTTAGGTATTAGGTAGGATTAGGTACATATAATATGGTCATGTTAATAAATGCTTTATAAGTGCTAATAAACAGCCAATATGTTAATGATAAGCATGCTAATAAGCAACTAGTTAATATTGAGAATTGGTCCCTATACTAAAGTGTTACCAACAAATGGGACTTTACTTGGAGAAAGCAGTCCATTTCGTGCTTAAAAACATATTAAACCAGCCCGAGGTTATTTACTGGTCTTGCTGGACTTACTTAGCACTTTTCAGCAGGTCAGGCTGGGACATCAAATGGCTATCCAGCTAAACACCAGCTTGGCCAGGCTGGAAGGACCAGCTTGGAACACCAGGAAACCAATTAAGGCTGGTCCCAAGGCCTTTACTAACAACTATCATGACCTGTGATATGAAGGGAAGGTGGAAAGGTGCAAATATCCCAATTTACACTTTTAAGGTACATCCAAAAAACCTACTAATGGCAAAACATCTAAGTAAATACAATGAAATGATTAGGATTTATTTGTTGCTTGCAAAATAGTACATTTAGTAATTATACATGGCTACTTATAAATGTCTCTCAAGGTTTTTGCCCACAGAACAGAGTAGTGCACTAGCATATGAGTAAGGGCTAGAAGGGCTGTGATAACTGTGATGCAAACTAGCAGATTTAACAATCTCATATTGTCAATGAATATTTCACGTAAAGTCAAGCAATATTTCTATTCATGTGTGGGAAAGAACTGTGTGAAATGTGTGCAAGTTTGTTTTGCCATAAATTTAAGACAACCATAAAAAATAATGATCATATTAATATATGGGGAAAATCTCAACATTCTGACCAGAATCAAATGATGCTACATTCTCCCAGTAGACAACAGTTGAACTACATCCCAATTCTGAGGCTAAAGTTTTTGTTTGAAACACGTCTGCACGCTCAATTGGGAAAGCAACGAAAAACAAGTTACCCTCAGAGATTTATACTTCTGATCCTCCAAATCCTTTTTTATCTTAATCAAGTATAAGGCAGTAAATTGCTCCAGCTCTGCCTCCTCCCTGTCCTTCACTGCCTGTATGCTAATATTGTTTGACATACTTCGGAGGAAGATGGGAGTATCAATGTTTATCAATTCCAAATAAGATCGAGGCACTGACACGCGCTAAGATTACAGTTTAATTAAAACTTGAGTAGCCAACTAATATTCAGTTCTTAAACAGACACATCATACGCCAATGCATTATCTACTCATTTAGATCTTGCATCATTGACAAAAAAGGCAGGCAGGGAAATCAGGAAGGAAAACATGACGTGCGGCTGTAAGATCATCCCCATTCCCTTTCTACTGCTGTTCTCTGTGTTTGCGGGGTAGCTGTCAGAGCAGAGGCTAAAATAAACCTAGCCACACTGGTCTGTATAAAAAATGGAAACCTCTGGTTCAAGTCCTACCCAGCCAAAACACAACTGATGCCAAATTCCACCTGCCAGCAGGAGATCCTGAGGTGGCAAAGGGAGCAGAGAGGCAGTGCCAACCATGCCACCAATCTGGAAAACACAAAGAAGGCATCCACTTACCAGTCTTGTGACAAGGGGCACCCCGAAATGCCAGAAGTGATCGTTCAGTAGCCCACTATACACTACGTTTCCAAAGAGAGCAATGCTTCCTGTTTTACACAACCCGTTTCCTGGTTTGGTTTCTGCAGAAGGAGAAAAGAAAATTAAGAAATAGGGTTAAATAGCAATATTCAATGACTAGAAACGAATAATAATAACAATAAACAAGAAATGAAGATAGGAGAGAAGAAGTTCTAAATAAACAATTAAGGTATGATTAAAAGAAAGAAGAAGAATGGAAATAGGATGCAAGAAGGGAAGGAAGAGAAAAAGGAAAAACAAAGGGAGAGAAAAAGTGAAAGAAAGAAAGAAAGAAAAAGAAAAAGAAAGAAAGAAAGAAAAAAAATGGAGAAAGTCAGAAGAGTGGAAGGAAAAAATGAAAGGAAGGAAGGAAAAAACAAACAAAAGGAAGAATGGAAAGGAGGGAGGAAGAAAAAACTAAGGAAGTATTAAAGGATGGAAACAATGAAACAATGCTGGAAGGAAGGAAGGAAAAACAAAGAAAGGAAGGAAAAATTAAAAGCTATAGGAAAGGAAGGAATAAAAAGCAACAGGATAAAGGAAGGAAAACAAGGAAAGGAAGGAAGGAAGGAAGGAGAAATAAAGAAGGAAGCATGGAAGGGAGAAAGAAAAACAAAGCAAGTAAGAAATAAAAGAAAAATTAAAGATTGTATGAAGGATGGAAGGAAAGAAAGAAGAGGAAAAAAGTAGGACAGAGGGAAAGGAGGATTTAAGGAACAAAGGGGAAAAAAGAAAATGAATGGAAAGAAAAGAAAAACATAAGGATGGATAAAGGATAAGGATAAAAACAAAACAAAATGAATGATCCCAAAAGTAAAAGACAAATATTTCTTTGACAATTTCAATATGTCACATCCATAAACACTCATCAGTCTGCGTGTGAGTGGCACGGTGTGAGGAGAAGAGCTTGGCATGTGATCAACAGTGGGGTCACTCCTGCTTACACAGAAAAGCAAACTAACAGCTGCATTCAACCTCCTTTGGGTAACATGCACTCACAATGATCAGTACTCACAAAGACAAAAAGAAAACATGACCCTGATATCACACACAAACACCATATACCACCAGTTCAGCTTAAAAAAAATCCCCATTCCCCCAGTCTGAATGTGGACTCAGAGAAGCACGTGCGAAGATTGTGATGTGTATTAAATTATTCCCTATAAATGCCAAGTACAGCAAAAATCTGCATTATGCCTCAAAACAATAGTGAAGCGCACCACAGCAAGCCATGCATTCATTATTGAAAAACAAAAAGTAAAAAGGCCCATTAAAATGTCACTTGTGCTCTTTGTGGCTGTGGCAACACATGCATTTTAGTGTTATAAATGGGCCTTGCGTTATTGTTTATGGTGGCTGCTAGCTGCAGGCTACCCGGCGGTGACTGTAAAGTCCACGGATCACACACCATGAGCCTCCGATGCCGCTCCCTCCCCCTCTATACATCACCCCATGAATATTCATGCCACAGGGCCGTGCTCCAGCCAATCGATCACAACTATAACGCATTTATATCCATGATACATATGGCTGATTTTTTTGGTGTCTAGGAATAAAAAGATATGGCCTAATTAGCAATAAAACAGCCACTTCGCCGTAGATTTGGAGGCCGAACGGCACTCCTGCTCTTTTCGCGTGTGATGTAATTCATACAGTGGCGCGTTGCATCACAGGAACATGTCGTAAGGTGAGACTCGAGGCGGGGAGGGATGGCTGTCATCGCGTTTGAGGCTTCCCTGCTGTCTGTTGGCACCGGTTGAAGCTCCTTTGGCATCCGTGGGCATGTTTCTCACCACGCCTCACCTGTGATTAATTATTGACGGCGAGATGAGGATGCGGTAAAGTAAGGCTGCACTGACATGCTACACTGCAGATACATTACAACAACCCCACAGGCTGCTTCCTTTTCCCTGGTTTTCCCTCATGCGCTTTGTCTTTAAAGCCCTCTTCTCACACTCTCTCTCTGACAACCTTTCCTAACTCTCTCTATCTCACTCTGCCCTGCAGTTTGGCAAATTTGACAAGCGCTTTAAAAACTGAGCGAAATGTCAAAGTTGTCATAAACAGTGTGTGAGAGGGAGTATTTTTGGTTTGATAAGGAGGCAATAACAGTTTGATTTAAGGCAGAAAAGAGTGTCATCCCATCTAAATCTGCCATCAGAATATCTCTGTCCAGGGTTTGTTGGCACATCGCTGTGTACTCATGCAGATGAATGGAGGAGTTTAGGTTGAAACTGAGACTGCATTGTCTCGCATTTCTCTACAAGGATGACAATAAGTGCCCTAAACTGTCCTTGCTTGATCTGTGGGGAAGCACCTGGCTTTGAATCTCAAGTGCGATGTGCGAGTGGAGGATTCTAGGACCAGGATAACATGATAATAAGAGAAGAAACATAAAACAGAAATCTACATTATAACACAGCTCTATAAATGTGGAAATAAATCACTTTGCAATAGCTTTAACTGAAAACAAATGCTCATGTATGAATTGCATAAAAACAAAAACAAATGATAGACCTCTTTTTCTCGGAACCAACTTTTCAAGTTCACACAGGTATCATGGCACAGTAAACATAGGTGTGTTCTCATATTCCACAAACGTTTGTGTAAAATATTGTCTTAACAATTAATTTCAATCCTTATTTGAACAATCTCAATTTTGATTGTTAAAATCCCAAGATATTTTTATTCTAGCCAGCGTTTTCTGCACCACTTTTCATTGGTGATGCAACACGCCCCACCGTTGAAAATAAAAGTGAAGTGAAAAAGTGAAAGTGATGTGACACGTGGCCAAGTATGGTGACCCATACTAGGAATTAGTGCTCTGCATTTATCCCATCCTAAGTGCACACACACAGCAGTGAACACACACACACACTGTGAACACACACCCGGTGCAGCGGGCAGCCATTTATGCTGCGGCGCCCGGGGAGCAGTTGGGGGTTCGGTGCCTTGCTCAAGGCATGTACAATCCAGAGGCAAGAGAATTCATATTTTATATGAGTTTGCAATCTGAATTGAAAGGGAAGAGATGAAAAGGATGCATACCGCAAAATAATAGCAAGAAAACATAGTTGATTTGTACTTTGTGTAATCTGATTCACAAACAGATTGATTTTTAATTAATCAAAAAACACAGCACACTTAGTGTAGTCTGATTCATGAACAAAAGTCCTTAAATTAATACTTAAGTCACCAGTAGGTGGGGTCACATGATTTAGCGCATCATTGAATCATTCATTCAACTGTTTTGTTCAAATCGCTGATTCATTTGGGAGCGAAACATATGACTGTCCTGCTGTATAAAACTTACTCACTCACAATCTTGATGTATTTTTCTAAATATCAGCACAGCTATGATTATTTGTGTTGCTTGTATAAGCAAAATGATTTCTAGAAGTTGTAAATAAAACAAAGTTTTGTAGAACATTTTACAAAAAATACTTCAATCTTTCTGCTGTACTTCAAAATGTAATGTTTAATTCAATGTGTTACTTGCCTTTTCTTTGTAATTTTTTGTTTCAAAGTAAAGCTTATTTTAATCTTTAGTTTGTAGTTTTTTTGGTTGTGTTGATCTGTTAAATAAACAGCATTGTAACACCATAGTTTGGGCCCTCTTGTTCATTTCGAAAATTTATATTTTAATGTACCAAATGAAAAGGTTCCATTTATAATTGACAGCAATAGCTAAAAGAGAAATGTTCATATTATCAAAATGGACATTAGAACTTAAATATAAATTAACAAAATAACAGAAAATGTATCAAATAGTGAAGATCCACTAACATTTAACAACCAGAATGTGTCCAAATATCTACATATGTATTGTGTTTTAGAATTGGAAACAATGTTTTGCTTGAGAAGTGTGCTTGCAGTATCTTTCTCTAAAACAGATGACACATGGTTTGATATTTTGCTGTGCCCAAATACGTTTAGGAGCCACTGTATAAAAATAACTACCCACAACACTGCAAAATATATCAAAATCTTGCTCTTGTTATTGCCAAGAGAGCAACAGGGATGACATAATGTCTGCCTTCTTCCGGCTGGAAGGCTCTGGCAGTGGCCATCCTGTCCTGGGCCTGTGCTTCCATTAGCCACACTGACCTGGATTTGTTCTGGCATCGCTCTGATACTAGACCGGTGGACTTGGCCCTTCCTCTCAGCGGGGCAGCTCTGTCAGGACCTCTGTCCAACCCAAACACACCAGCCACACCAGCCTGTCCATATGGCAGTCCCACCCTGCCTGTTTCTGGGCCAGAGCCTGATTCACAAGGGCTAGAGAAAAAGAAGTCCTCTTTTTCCAGAGCCCTCTCCAGGGCATCACAACGCCTCTCCAAACGATGTATTCATTACCCCTCCTGTATCCCGGGGGATGCTCAAAAGCCTTGTTTCAGAGTGGGGAGTGTGGCTGTGTCTGTTTAAACACTGCTCCAGTCCTACTTAATCATGTGCAGTTGGAGGGGCAGTCCATGCCGGCGCTCTGATTAATACAGCATGAAGCTGTGGCGGCAGACATAGCTGCAAGGGACACAAGGCATTAATAACAGTATGCTGCCACTGTTTCTGCTGCTACCTTCGCCTTCCTGAAGTCTAGAGAGACCATGAGTACAAACACACACAAATACCAACTCATAAGGTGTCATGGAGCCTTGATGCTGTAAATATCAACTGGCCCAGAGATTCATCTCTGGTAACTGCATTAGAGCACGAAAATAGATTTTTTTTAATTGATGCAATTTGTCAATCAGCCTAATAATGACTAATCATTATCATTTGTGGTTCATAGGTTCACAATAGTGGAATATCATGGTCATAATCATTATCACCAATAAAGACATATTTTCGTAACTTACAGTGGGATCTTAAAAATGTGGCAAAAACATTAAAGTGTGATGGAAACAAAACAAAATATACTTTATATTGACTTATATAGCCACTTTTCGTATTATGTTTTCAATGTTTTGTCTGCTAAAATAAAGTAAACCAAGGGGCCGGGTCCACGACTTAAAATGATTAAAAAATATATATAGTTATTTAAAAAAATTATTAATAATATTAA